TTGTAGTCCAGTTGTTACTGAGGTTCCAACAGTGAAAACCAATCGAGCATCAAAAGCTCTTTTTAAAAGCTGTAGGACCTCATTTCCTTCTCGGTTGTCAGGAAGATATGCATTACGTTGGGTGCCGTTGTACCTTCGGCCAGGGCTAGGATGTTCCCTGCCTTGTGTTCCCGGCGGAAAATAGTAGACGATGACGATTGTACCACAATCTGCAGATTAATGACGCACAGAATTGAAAAAGTTAGTTGTGCTTGTGTTATTCTTACTGTTGTTACGCTGACACAGGAAAGTGTTACGCACAGAAAAGATCTAGAAGAAACGTTACACATGCATTTGGCATGCGGACTCATCCTCAGATTGAAGTGACTAGTGTTTGTCAGTTGATGATGTTGTAAGTCTGATCCGTTGAACGTGGTTGGTCAGTTTAGCCATGATGGTATTGGCTGAAAGACTCGTGTTAAGTTTAGCTAAGTTTGTCATCAGTCATTGGTCGGTTTCGATCCTTCTATTGTTAGTCAAATTGGCCGGTTTTTGGGTCCTTCTATTGTTAGTCAAATTAAGTCGGTCTGTTAGAAGTCTGTTTGTCGGTTTCGGTTCAGTCATGGATAAGTCGTTTGTAAGGCGCCGGTAGTAATTGAAATCTGTTAAGGTCATTCCTCACATTTGCATTGCGCATCCTTACTGCGCATAATTTATGGCGTCATTAGCGCGCGCTTGTGCACGCGCATATTGAAAACATGACGGATTTGCATTGATATTGAGCTCTGTCAGTTGAAAAATGGCTCTAGCTCACCAACGAGCATGGGCACCCCAATTTGTTTTCCAGTCGTTGTAATCAACTAATCATAAGCTTTACGTGAGAAAAGACTCATCTAATTTCTATTGCTGAAAATTAAATAAATAAGAAAAATAGCAGATACACTGTGGTCTTTTCTATTTTCCAGTCGGTAACCACGTCAAGAAATTTGGTTCAAATTTTTAATCAAGGATTTAGCTTTCTGTCTGAATCAAACTTAAACGTTTATTTGTGTCCGACACAANGAAGTTATCATATGACAAATATTCAGTGGACGAAGTTTGAACAAAAATCTATTGTCACTTTTATTTCAGAGGAATTACCTTAAGAGGCGTTTGTTCTAGGTTAGTATAATAGCTTTCCAGAGTCAGACGTTGAAAATAGTTTGTACTGTAGGTCAAGCACTGAGCAGAGTCCCAGTGAATGTTGTGGTTTGTCAATTGATGATGTCAGAACTCTTTTAGCCAGGAGAGAAATTTTAAGCGGCTTGCTTACATGTCAGTGGAATAAGTAAGCAACTATTGCGAAGCTGATTGTACACTGGCTGAAGGTAACAATAGCACCATCTGCATATACGTCATCTTACACTGATGAATCATTACCCAGAAACTGTAAACCCACAGTCATGGTGCTTAACTACCCTGGCACTTTTATTGAAATTAAAGAAGATATGGAGAAACATCTTAAAGAAATATAAGCGCTTGAACACGACGTTTGGTGGCGCCATTAACAAATGCACACCTGCAGAACTTAACAAAAATCTACTTGTGGCGCCGAAACTTAATGTGCTAGCGTTTACATTACCTTTGTAAAATGCCCCCTAAAAATACTCCAAACATCGCATAAACCGTGGGCTTTTTGGTTTGTTTTCAGGTCATTTTTTTGGATAATATTTGGATTGGCCGTGTGTTTATCTGCATGGTAAAGTCCTTCATTGATACATCATGATTGTTCGTTAAACCCTCACAGGGGCCCCCAAATGAAAAGGACGGGGCTGCTCGTCGGAAATTTTGAAAAGAACCCCTTGGGGGTATCAAGATCCTGTTTCGTGGGCGTGGCTTGAGACTTTTCCACCCTTAAGAGGTACCAATTCTGAGACAAATTTAAAAGTTAGTTGATTTTCAAATATCTCGTGTGATATTTGTTTTTCTGGTCAATACCCTAAAAAGCATTGCAAAAGCTCTCGGCGCTGTGGACCTTTTGCGGCTGAACACCCTAAGAGGTATTAAAATCGCCGCTTCTGACCCCAAAAAAGGACGACGAGCACCCCCGTCCTAGGATTCTCCATCCCGGCCCTGGCGTTAAACCTTTTATTGTTAGACCTTTTTAATGTAATGTTACCATTGTAGCCGGGAAGGCGTTCACTTCTTCGGCGAAATTGCATATGTCCTGCAGGCTGATTTCCTTTCATAACGCCCTGCACTTCTTTACACACGGGACATCTGTTGTCATGCCTTAGCGCAGTCTCCACGCAGTCTGTACAGAAGACGTGTTTACACTTCAAAGTCCTTGCGTTAGTCACGGTATCGAGGCAAATGGGGCATTCAGCTTCTGAGCCTGCTACGCCAGCAGCAGAATCTGTTAATTCAAGAAATTAAACTTAAAATAGTTTATTCTGTGGGCTATCAGTGAAGGTAACCTGCGTAGCAGGAGTTCGTTTTCAAAAGCACGCCAAGGGAACGAATTAAACTGCGAGCATTTATTGCTCAACCCAAGCGCGCTCGTTTGCTCGCCCGCTTGCTCGCTCGCTCACTCGATCTCCCCGCCTGAAAAATGGAAAGAAAACGTCTGCTAAGCAGGTTACAATGAAAGAGTCACCAGTGATAGCAAACACAAACCGCCACGTCCCAAAAGTCTGGTTTCCGCTTAAATGTCTTAATTTTGGGGTTTCTTGCCAACCTTCCAACGGGTATCCCACACTGCCATATATCACATGTGACTCTTTTCCCTACTAGTAATTTCTTGAAACTTTCTGCGCCAATCTTTCACTGGTAATTGCCCATACATCAAGGATGTATTCAAGTTGAACGTTTTACCGCAAGTATGTAATAACGGCGACTGAGAGGGATGGCTGCGAAGATAATTTCAAATCAAGTTCGCAGGTATGCATTTGGGCAGCACATGCAAGGCAGTGAGGGTGATGAAGTCAAAGGTGTTCTCCAGGCATATGAGAACCTACCCTATTAGCAGTTTTCGCTATTTCGATAACAAGGCTAACCCATTACATCGAAGTCCCAGGATGTGAAGTCTGCTTTTGATTACGTGATTGCGATAATCCGGAAGTTTAAAAATACTTTATGTATTGCATGGAATTATACGGGATAGTAGCTCAACTATAATGGCGTCCAGTGTGTTATATGTACCCAGAAGAAACCTCTCAGAGCATAAGAATCTCCTTGCGTTTTTTAATCCTCTTCATTTCTAGTCACGCTCACATTTTTGCAGTAAACGCCTAGCTGTGGCACAAGAAATTACAAAAAAGTTGCAAGCTTGACCAATTTCTGCATAGCTCACAATATATGGCACACGACCCACACAAAGGTAGCTCAAGGATGTTGGGAAAAGATCTGAGTCAGATCTCCGGAACGACTAAGCGCAAGTTCAAGGGATTATATATAAACGATAGCCTCCATTTGGCGCGAAAATATGCTCGGATATCTGTTCGCGGACATGATGTGGTCCTAGAAAAGTTGAAAACTGTGAGTTGAAAAGTTGAAAACTGTGAGCTTTGAGGAACAGATAATGTCCAAGGACAAATATCCGTGTACCAAATGGAGACTATTGTGTTAATTATCCTTCGTATATTTTTCGCAACACGCGCAATTTTGAAAATATGGGGAATATCACTCGGATATTCCCCAGTTTTAGCTGCACATCTTTTCTCGATTCCTTCTGGTTTATTCAGACTCACTATCTTTGCCTGTTTGTTTATCAATTTGTTTTTTATTCTGCAACTCTGTCATGCATAATTTGTTCAATTTTCAAACGCAGAGCGTGAGCGCCAATATCAACACTTTCTGTGTCATGATCACTTTTATTTCCTTTTTTTGAGAGGAAAACCGCCGACTAACACACATAATTATCACTGCTAATTGTAATGAAGCTAACAGGATTAGTGTATTTGATATTGTTTCCCTTACCTTCATTTTCTCGGCCCGTCGAGGACCCCAGAGAGAAATGAAATCCCGTCTTGCCTGTAGCTCCAGGCTCTTGAGCTGTGAACGATCTTGCATCAGTTCCTCCGCTCGTAGATATTTTCACTGCGCCACTGTAAAATGACGGTGTAAGAGACCGTGAATTGGGACCACTCAAAGGGTGACTGGCTGAAGCATTTGTTCTTCCAGAAGAGCTGTCATTATGGCTGCCAACTATGTCACACAAATTTTTTGTTGACCGACAGTTGTCAGAGATTTGCATTGACACTTTAATAGACCTTTCTCCCGTCACCTTTTTACTGCTGGACTGGTTATGGTTATATCCATACCTGGAGATGAACTCCGTCCTGAAGGCTTGAACTGAGAGATTGTCAATATTTACGAATCTGATATCAGTGATCGTTTTCTTCTTTGGGTTGCCTTGTTTAACAAACTCCTCAACGGCATCAAACATGACTTTGGCGCATTCGTCTTTCGGCATGCTACAACTGCCGGAGCCAATGGCTGGTAATGCTATGGAGGTCATTTTCCATTCTTGTGCGATGATTAAACTGTTTAAACAGACTCGACGAAGGAGAATCCTGCTCTGGGGTAATCCTACGTCTCGGAAATCTGGTCCTACGGCATGGACAACCTTCTTACAAGGTAAGTATCCGGAATTTGTCATAACTGCTTCACCATCTTTCAGTGATTTACGTTTTGCTATAATCTTGTTTGACTCTGTCTCGATTACCTTTCCTCCTCTGTCAAGTATGGCCTTAGCCACACCTCCTTCGTGTCGCAGGCGATTGTTAGCGGCGTTTACAATGACATCAACCCGTTCACTGGTAAGATCTCCCTTGTAAACAGACAGTTTGACACCACCTACAGAGAGAAAAGATGAGTTACAGAGAGTTTTTCCACGTAAATCGACGGATTAGTTTACGGCCTTCTCAGTCGTGGGATATATCTGTCTTGCCTTAAAACAAAAATGTGACAACAGGCAGAAAAATAGAAGCTGGTGAGGAGGCCTCAATAATCTCCCCAAAAACTAGATGAAAGCAAAATATACGAACTAGTAATGTAATAGCGTAATTATACCTTCTCACACTTTTGACGCATCTAAAAATTTCCTTACTCCAGGTGGAAGCTTACACAAAACCTCCACAATTTAAATGTGAGGCCTGTATCACGATTTAGGGACCCTTTTTTCTTTTATATTAACAGAGCAAATTATAGTTTGAAGGGTCATTTAACATTACCTTAATGAATAGTATTTACATAATGTTTACTAAATTCTATTCACCAAGATGGAAAAAAGTATTGCTAACCTATGTAGGTTCCTTGTAGATCTTTGCTTTGGAACCCTCTGGAAGGATCTGGAGAGTCCACATCCATCTCCTCCTCATCGTGGCTTGACTCTTGAAATTCTTCAGTACGCTTGTCTTTTCCTGATTCCCTCTTTATTTCTATCTCCTCCTTACTAAGAAATTCCAGGGCTGCCTCCAAGTTGCGTTCTTCTCCATACAGCTCCCAGCGCTTTTGATCCCTTGACAACTCAACACAGACTGGAAATGTTTTACTCATTTCATGAATTTTATTTCGAGTACGGACAACATTTTTTTCTTTTTTCAGGGAGAAACGTTCCATCTTCACTGCCTGCGTCATCTGTTGGTACAAGTCAATGAACAGGTCGCAAGCCTCGTCGTATTGGTCACCGCTGCACCCATCCTTTGGTATTAGGCTGATTTTGCCTCCTTTGGCCTCTCTTGGTACCCCCACATGATAGTCAGCTTCAATCTGGTCTACTTCAGTTTTATGTGCCTTGAAAAAAACTTTTATAAACTTCGGCTCGACTTCAAAATATTGAATGACGGGGGTTGTAACAGAAGCACCGTGGTTGGACTGTGGTTTGTGTGGTTCTTGGTTTTGGCGATGCACCCCATTTTGCAAAGCAATTGCCGTGGTGCTGGCTTGGTTCAGACCTCCATCGTTTTCATCGCCTCCAAACTGAGACTCGTTTTCATCATGCTTCTGAGGCTGCGTCATTTTTCTTTTCAGGCCACTGAACACTGCTATTCCACCAGATTGATTTATAGCCTGTTGTAAGTAGATACGGGACAGCTCCACTTGCTTGAAACCTCCTGACATAGTAAAAGTTTCACTGACTTCAATCCACTTAATGCCAGTTTTGCCAGCAATTTCGTCTAAGAGGGTTTTTGTTTGTCTACGGGTGAGGAGTTCCACAGTTTCCAAACAAAGATCTGCAGAAACCAGCTCAAACACCTTCACCAAAGGAAACAAACGTTGATGTAAGTTTTCGTACTGCTGTAGAGAATAAATGTGTTCTAAATGACGTTCCATAGAACCTGCTAAAGAAGAATTCTTAGAGAGAGAAAATTAAAAAGAAATGTCCAGTTTCTCCAAATGACATTGTTTTGTAAACTTGAGAAACATTGAGAACAGAAACACCTTGTGGACTCACAGACACCTTGAATGAGAGAAAAATAACATTGCAAAACAAATGTTTTTAACTTAAAACAAGACGCATATGTCACCTTTGTATATGCATGCAGTTAAGAAAAAGTATAGAAACCATTCCGCCAGTTATGGAATACCTCATAGTCCTGGTTATCGTTCTTCATGATTTCCTCATATGGTTTCACAGTTAAAGCTGCTCCTTCAAACCCCTGTTCCTTCTGTAGAACTGTTTTTACAACTATTGGTACAAGAAAATACCCCAATGTATTAACAGCATCCATGGAAGCTGATTTTAAATTTGATCTGTACAAGGTAACTGTAAGAATCGCTAAAGATTCCTTGATTTATAGTTAGCAAATCATGATTCTGATAACCCACGTTATGACTTCTTTACTGAGCTGAAGATGCCCATGATTACTTCAGAGAATGCCTTGTATGCTCTAGAAACTAAAATCGTGCAGGTGCAATTTGTAATGGGGCGGAAACGTTATTGTGCGAAATTTTTAACCTCTAGAAAGGCTATGTCGGCTTTACATAAAATGGGATCCAGAACACGATGACATCACAAAGCATGATAAGTTGGCGCGCGCGGTCTTTGTTCATTTATTACTGAATAAATTACGTCCAAACGCGTGAAGACAGACAAAAATGACAATGATTGTTTGAGACATGTTGCTCAACCCCAATGCTGGGGATAGTTTACTAGCAGGTTTGCTCAAGCTTGCCCACCCTATACCCACGCTGATTGAACAATGAAGACAAATATGTTTTTCAAATAAAAGTGGGCTCCCATTAAGCAAGTCATTAGCCTTATCATTTTATTTGCCACACCGTTAATAACAACAAAAAATAATAACAATAATAAAAAGGCAGCGAGGAGACCTCCAAAAAAACCCACCTCGGTTGTTGATATATTTTAAATTTTAAGTTCTGTGTGCGCGGCATGACCAATTCAATGTTTCATTGCAATTCACTAGATAGGAAAAAAAAAGTACTCTCGAGCTTTGGTTTATTCCAGACGTTCTTAATCCTTTTACGGCCGGTGTAGCTATGGGCTCTCCCCTCTCTCCTGTTCTTTCTAATTTATTT